GATATACTGAAATTTATTTAATCATTTCTTTTATTTTAATAGTAAAAGAAAGCTAGTTAGTTAATAGGTTAAACTAAGATGCTCACGTCACCTACAGAAATCTGAGATTTCTAAGTGTTCTTGTGTTTAGCTTATTGTAAAATTAATGTCAATATAAAAATTTCTTTTCATTAGTATACTTTAAATATATACTTTGCGTGGATATAATGTGTAGAAGTATTTTATAAATAAATCTATGGCAAGATAGGGAATACTTATATGTTTTTTTTTTCTTATTTTATTTTTAGTTTACTTATGTAATATATTAGAGTTATTTTGTTTTTATTTATCTCTCATATATAACACAAGTAGCATTATGTTTCTTGTCATAAATTTATATTTGCACTAGGCATGTAAAAAAATTGACCCGATCCATCAATATGATGTGAAAAATATGAATTCGGGTTAATTTTGAATTTCATGATCATTGAGGATTGTGCTTTTATTCATCATAGAAGGTTCTATCATAACTTGAAAAATATTTCAATCAATAACTGAACACAATGAATTTGATCAATAGCTTCATGTGTTTTTTCATGTTGCTTACTTCTCTGGTAATGATCTGAATTAGAATAAGGTAGCTAGGATAGATTAAAACTTTCTTTGATTAAGATTACTTAGTTACATTCGTGTTTTAGTACTATACATGTTATTCATGTGCAGAGATGAGGGTTTTATGCTGCTAGCTTTTACATATCATATTATCTCGTGTTCTTTATAATGTTGTCAATAATTTTTTATTTCATGTAGAAAATTTATGGAGGAAAGAATATTGATGTTTTTTAGAGCTCTTTCTTTCTGTATAAATGACTTGTTTTTGGAGAACATAATTAAATTTTGTGATTAAATATGCCATCCTAATTGAAATTTTGAGGCTATTGTTTCTTGGTTTTTCTGGAGACATTTTAAACAGTTTACACAGTTCTTAGCGAGCATCCCTGTGTCTTTGATCACAAAAGTTTTTTTCTTTTCTCGAATTAATTGATTGAAAATGCTGGTTGTTGATGTTTTATCATGAAATAAAGCTTGTGAATCATGCACGGTAAATTATTTGACTATTTTTTTTCTTCCTGTTTTTTTTTTATAGATATCCAAAGAAGATCCAAATCATTAATATCTGATCCAATTGAATTCTGATCTAAGTTGTTAATTCTCAAAATTGCTGAATATTTTCATAAAAAATCGGTGAGATATCTGCTCTTGGGACTCATTTTGCATGCGATTAAGATTTTTGCTCTCTTTTGTCTCTTGCTTAACTCTCAGTGATTAGAACTTTTGTAAATGCAATCAGAATATTGAGACGTAAATCATTTCACACATATTTTAGAGTCAATAATGTTTTAATGCTTGTACTTACAAATACTTTAAAAAGAGATAAATTTTGTGAAGGCAGGGGAATATTAACGTGCCAGGCTTTGCTAGGCCTTTTAACTGTAGCTATGATGGCTGTTCCATTGTCCTCTCGGTTGGAATTTCAAGATTTTTCATGAAGCTGCTTCTTTCTGAGTCTAACTTTGGCATTCAGGATTTTTTCTTAATCAATTTTTTATAAAATATAAAGCACGATCGAATTAACAATTATGATCAAATTTTAGTTAAGCTGATTAAATAATATAATTTTGTGCTTGTTAGAAACTTTTTTTTTGAACATTAAGGAATGCACACTAACTGTTGCTACTTCAATTTCTAATTTTTATAAAATGAACAAATATATATAAATAGAGTTAGGGGTGTAAGCGAGCAAAAGCAGCTCATGAATCACCCAGGACTTGCAATTAAAATTGCACTAATGTACTATTGCTCTCAATCATAAGCTTATTGTAAATATATTAATGCTTGGATTTAACATTGTTTAAATTGTTTAGAAGTGAGTATTTATTCAACAATTCAATACGATAACCTCTGTAATTTGAAAACATAGATAAGTATAAGGATTAATCAATAAAATAATATTGAATTTTTTTTATCTCCAACAGTTAATAATTTTCTCTGGTAGTCAAAACATTTGATCACTAAAATTAGCGATGATATTAATTAAATTATAAAACTATAAAGAGGGTTTGTTTTTTTTTTTCTCTATTATAAATGCTGACTTTCTAGGAAATGATTATAATTGATTTATGATGAAAAAAATGTGACAAAAATTGATGGAAATATTCTAATGCTTGAACCAGCTGACACATTCATTGAATTATTGACGACATTACCAGTAGATCGATCCTCCGATAATGATTTAATTTACACGCATAATTCACATTTATCATGCATTTTTTGTACAAATAATATATTCTTTTAATTTATCTTAATTCAAGTATAATAAAAGTATAAATAATCTATATTTATACAAAATTTATATTTTATACTGATATAAAATTTTATATCATGATTTATATCGTATCATAATTTTTTTTGATTTTATTCTCACTAGACATTTGCAAGAGGATGTACCTTGGTGTATGCTTTTTGCTGATGATATTCTTCTTGTCGATATAACTAGAGAGAGAGTTGAAAGTAAACTTGAATTATGGAGGTCAACATTAGAGACTAAAGGTTTTCGCTTAAGTAGATCTAAAACAGAATGCATGGAGTGTAATTTTAGTAGTAATAGACCTAGTGAGGGGATTGTAACTTTGGACGATCAAGTCGTTAATAAGAGTACACGTTTTAGATATCTTTGATCTATTATTCAGAATGATGGTGAAATAGATAGGGATATTATTAGCAGAATTCAAGTTGGATGGTTGAAGTGGAGGAGTGCATCGGGCTTGTTGTGTGATAGAAAAGTACCCTCAAACTTAAGGGAAAATTCTATAAGATGGTAGTGAGGCCTGCAATGCTTTATGGTGCTGAATGTTGGCCATTAAAAGAGAACCATAATACTAAGTTAAGTGTAGCAGAGATGATGATGCTTAGGTGGATGAGTGGCTTTACCCTTAGAGATAGGATACGAAATGAGCATATACGTGAAAAGGTTGGAGTAGCTCCAGTAGAAGATAAGATTAGAGAGAGTCGCCTTAGATGGTTTGGTCACATAAAATGGCGGCCTTCCAATGACCCGATTAGGAGAGTAGAGGTATTAGATTTGACTTATCTTAAGAAAGGTAGAGGCAGACCTAAAAAGACTTGGTTAGAAAATATTAGGAATGACCTTTCTTTATTAGATTTAAACGAGAATTTGACCTTTAATAGGACACAATGGAGAAAAAGGATTCATGTAGCCGAGCCCACGTAGTGGGATAAAGGCTTGATGTTGTTGTTGTTGTTGCACATGTGCACGTGCATTTATACTAGTTTATTTAAGTAGCTCTTCCGCTTCTTTATCCTCTTCCTCCAACTACTATATTTTGATTTGTCTCGGAGCTAAGGTTGCTAGTGTAAAGCTTGTGACGACAAGTATCTCTCTCTTCAATCCACTTTATTGATTTCAGTGATCCTTGTCTGCAATGCATATTTTTTTTAATGTTTATGCTTCAATAGCTAACTTTTCTTTATTTTGTAATTAGAAATGGGCAGTTGATCTTAATGAAGCTGCATGCCAAAGTCTAATGTCAAATCATCCAGAAGTTCTGGTAAGCTTCATGTCCATGTACGACAGAAGTTAAGCTTTCATTCGATAATCTTATAAGGACTTAAGAATTATGCTTGCTTGAATAGATTAGGAATGAGAAGGTTGATGACATTCTAGAGTTATTGAATGAATGGAGTATCATAGAGATATTTTAAAATTTGTCATTTAATTTATGTTCTCTCTAAGATTTCTTTCTTTCTTGTATTGAACTAATCTCCTTCTCACGATGCTATTTCCTCCTTGTAGAGAATTCATAGCCTAGCTGTAGCTGCATATGCGCTTGTTTGAGATAAGTTTACTTAATAGAGTTCGAGATAAACAACCCTTCTACTTTATCAAATTCCCCAATGGCTATATTTAAGAACACTTATGCTTCTTTATCCTCTTCTCCAATTGCTATATTTGATTTAAATGTATCATAGACATATTTAATAATTTGTCATTTAATTTATGTTTTTTCTATGATTCCTGTCTTTTTTGTATTGAACTAATTTTTTTCTTTTATAATTTGATTTAATGCACTGAATAAATCTTTTATGTAATTTGAAAATTCCTCATTTAATTTCTACTATGAAGGAAAAAAATATTAAAGTACTAAATAAAAGTTGAAAAGAGAGATTGGATGTAAATTATATATTCTATATTTTATTAGATATAAATGTTCATTAAATATATTCACTAATATGGTTTATTGAATTTGATGTTATGCTGGCAACTAAGAAGTTCAAATATTGTGACATTGTTCTTGAAGTAGGGATAAATTGAACAGATTATTCTTTGTTATGGACATCAAGTCACGACAATCTTCCAATGAATTATGAAGAATATGGATAAACCTTTAAACATAGGAAAGCTAATTGATTAGCTACAATTTTAACAGTCAGTAAATATTAACTTGCAAATTTAACAGCCTAAAAATCCTCACAGCTTCAATCACATTGAATTCTCACCATCACGACAAGCTCTATTTGATGAATTTATGTTGATATTATCTTAGAAGATTTACTAATTTGAACTTCTACTCTTTCAGTTGCTTTGAATTTTTCCTTAGCTTCAGTATTTGGAAGAAAATTTTCCTCAAGGATTCTTATAAATTTTATCTTTCAATATTCTTACATAGCTCACTGTTTTGCAGTGCGCAAATGTCATGTCCTTCTATCATGAGCAAGAATATATTATTATATTAATCAGAAGTATATTTAATAGAAGTTGTGTATTGTTTCTTGATTTCTAGTATCTTGATTACATATGTTTTTGTGTTTTGTAATTGTATCATTTATATTGAACTTTGAATTAGTATTAGTATCATTAGAGATTTAAGAACATACAATAGATCTAAGGGCTCATTTGGTTGGCAATATAGATTTTAATTACATTAAACAAAATGATGGTTTTTAACATGGTTTAGGTGCTTAAATCCTGCCAAATGAGATTTGAGTGCTTGCTAAATCTCACGGTGGAATAAATCCTTGGTCTCCCCCTTTGGATCATAAAGGGTTGTTTGTATCACATTTACAATTGGATTTAAGCGGGATTTATGCCAAATCCTGCCAAACGATTTTTATGCTCACGTTAAATCCTGACGATCAATAAATTATGGATTTAAGGATTTATGACATTAATATGGGATTTACTAAATCCCCCGGTTCAGCAGATTTAACGTTATTTGGAAAGAATGTTTTCAGGTTTTGAAGCATATGCGATAGAGTGAACTTTTTAAATTTGGAAAGAATGTTTTTAGGTTTTGAAGCATATGCGATAGTTTCTATTGGGTGTTCAAGCAGATATAGTCATTGCATGTGCCGTTCTGCACAACTTCATTGGTTGATACTACAAATATGATCTCTTTTTCAATAGGTAATAGATGAAAATGCTTAATGATGTCCGAGATGGTGAAGTTGATATTTTTTATGAGGATCCTAATTTATATGCAATAATCGGAGAAAGAATTCAGGGTGAATCTATAAGGCATAATATCACCATTGATTTATGGAATGCTCAGGTAAGAGTTTGGTTTGCGTTATATACTTCTAACTACATTATATTTTATAATAATTTCTTCATTTCTTTATTTTAGATTGCAATTTAAAGAAATTGATCGCAATGAAAAAATTTATCTCTACATGTAACAACATATATGAAGTCAATTGGAAAGTTTAAGCTTGCTCTTATTTAATAGCTCAGACACCTTTTGGTCAATATTAGTTTGTCATTAGCTCTTTATTGAATTTTCGGTAATATTATTTGAACTCAAGTTGATGTTATTATGTTTCATGCAATGATCTTGAATTTATAATAATCTCATCAAATTTAAATCCCTAACTGTCATAAATCTTGAAATATGTTACCAAATAGTTTATCAGGATTTAACAAGATTTATCATTTGGTATACCAAACAATATGCAATATTTAACACCCTCGGGATTTACTAAATACGAATTAAAGAATTTACTAAGTTATACTAAAGTTAGATCCCACTTGTTGCCAAACAACACCAAAATCCCATATTAGTAAATTTTGAAATTTAGCGGATTTATGGGATTTTGTCGAAGAAGTGCATGAAAGAGAGAAAGATGGTTACCTTCACAGAGAGCGAGCTCCCATCGTTACTTCTGATCAAAATGTCAGGAAGGGAACTATGTTGATGGAGTGAAGTCGAACAACAATGAAAAAGCTGAAGAAGCGGCTCGTGCAAAACTCTACCTCATGCGAAGCAACAAAATTGAACATTAATGACGAAATGCAGAAGATGAAAAAGCAAACCTTAGACGCCTAACAATTTTCTTGATTTAACATGTCAGAATTTACTAAATTTGAATTTACATGATTTAGTAAATCATTCTAAAATTAAATCCTACTTGTTGATAAACATGCCCCAAGTGTATTTCGTAAATACCCAAGTCATATTGTCGGAAATACTTTGACCAACAAATATACCAGTAGATTGCTAGAACTATTTTTGAATGACTTGCATTGATAATGGAATTGTATGAGAGTGGTTTAAAATCCACGTAGTAACAATGATCTTAACTAAGTCCTTTGAAATTTTTATAAAATCTTGATTAAATACTATTTATCTTTTATGAATTTCTTTAATTAGAAGCACAACTTTTTGTTCTTTTAATTTTATAAAATTAAAAAGCAAAATGCAGAATTTCTTCTTTATATTGTAGAGTATGTTTGTGCATTCGTGTATTCTTGCAT